CTCCGGGGCAGGCGGGAATCGAACTCATGTGGAAGCGGCTTTAGGTTCTCAGTGCTGTGCTTTAACCTGCTGCGCCACCAGGGAGGGCCGTCTAAGACTTTTTACCTGTTAATAAGACATGGGTGTTCACCCCTGCACAGGAAGGTCTACAGGCTGGAAGACTATGTGAGCGACTCCAGGGAAGCTCAGAGTAAGGGAACCGGAGCCCCAGAGCCCGGACACCTGGGTCCGAGCTGTTCTGACAGGTGGGGCAGGGGAGCCGGGGCAGGTCTCCTCACCTGAGTGGACTCCTGGTCTCTTTCTGGCTCTAAAAGTTTCAGCTTTGCTGCACTCGTGGAAGATTTGCATTTACCGGGAGAAGCCTGGGCGCAGCCCACACGTTGTAGTTAGTTTGATGAGAGGTTCTTGGGGAGGAGGGTTCGCAGGGCGCGCAAGCCCAAGCTTGCCTTTCCAGGCAAACCGCTCCCAGGCCCGGCAGCCGCTGCGAGTTCCTTCTCCGGCTAAAATGCTCCTCCCAGTGGACAAAGTCGGGCATGGCACCTTTCTTTGTTTGGGTTTCTGCCTCTGGCCTGCCCTGGCCTGCTGGCTTGGCACTGAGTCTCAGCCATGCCTGAGTCCAGAGTTCTGCGTCCCGGTATCTTGCCCTCGTGAGGTCAGAACATGCCTGTTGGAAACCCAGAGCCCTGATTTCTGCTTAACTGAGCACCATAGCAACCCGGCAGAGTCCCTTCCAGTCAGCACTAGGAAACTCCCAAACAGAACCAAGCGGAGGCAGAACAGCTCAGCAAAGAGCCCGCTGCTGCACCAGTCAGGTCCGCAGATTTTAACGAAGGCTGCTTCTTCAGGGAGGTCCTCAGTGTAGACGTGGGCTGATATTCACTTGCCACACACGCTTCTTCTTGGAGACACTTCTCCCGGGGGGAGAAGTCTGTTGCCCGGCCAGCCTGAGCTTTATTGGAGCAGGTACAACATCTGTTCCCGGCTCCCGTGCAGCCAGCCAAGCTATTGTAGTTGCCATTAAATATTTATTCAATAAATGCGAGGTCCGTAGCTTTGTGCCGGGTCCTATTCTAAGGACTCATTTGACTCGCTTATTCTTCTTAGCAACCCATGAGATTGCTAAGTTTAGGGTACATTGATCACAGTGCAGTTAAGAAACTGACCTAGGGTCATGTGGCTTGTCATGGCCTGGCTGGGATTTGAACCCTAAACGTGGGCTGCGTGAAGGTTTTGGACCACAGCTCCCCGACTCGCACAGGGGTGAGTGGAGTCACTTGGACAGGGCAGGAATGGCATCAGAGGGTGCTCCCCAACTGTGAGGTTCCCTGGG